CCGTCCCGCGCCGGCAGACACCCGAGAGGGGAAAAGCCAGGGGGCCGCCGCCACCAGCGTCGCCCGGGCCAGGCCCGCAGCGGGCGCCGGCGACGGCGGCAGAGAGGAAGGGGGAGGGAGAGGCGCGCGGGGGAGAGGGCTGGGCGCGGCCGGCCGCCCGCGGGGGCGGCGCGGTCGCGGGAGAGGAGGAAAGGAGAATACCCCAACCCCTCAACACACTCCTTACTACACGTATCACTCTCCCATCATTACTGCCAGCACCGTACACAATGCGTTATCTGGCACCTCATGATCCATGTACCATAGCCCATTACGCCTGGTTCCAGTCCCAAGCTTCCTCCCTGTTCGCCTCTCCTGAATTAGACATATTTTTCGGTCAACGGTTATCCGACAATCCAAGTCATCAATCAAAGCACTCATTGACATAAGGTTGATTGGAAAAGCAGGAGCATGCAAAACTGAAGAAAGTTTAATAAGAGGTGTGCATTGCACTGTACCAACACCTTTAATGGGCCGTGAGGTGCCATCGGCTGTTTGTATAGTTTCTTTATGTGTGGGTGGATACTCAGTATATGACTCAAACACATTCAATGTACCCGTGACATGTTTAGATGCACTGGAGTCCAGAATCCAATCTGGTTGTGACACTAGCGATAATGTAGATGTATGAGCACAATTACCTTCATTAGCATTGGCAAAGTGAGCAAAATCACCAAATGTGGAGTCCCTTTGGTCTTTACCACCCATACTCTCCATCCTTTTTTTTAGTTTCCTCAACTCTTCTAACTCTTTTGCGGAGACCTGAACTTTGTCATACGATTGCTCGTCTTGGACCGCCACATTTGCTTTGTGGCCAATCATATATCCTCGACCTCTAACTCCACCTCTAAATCCTCTTGGCCGGCCTCGGTCATTTCCTCTCCCCCGCCCACGGGTTGGCTTGCGCGGGGCATCACAATCACGACTCAAGTGTCCCACCTCACCACAATTGAAACACTCTCTGGTCTCATTGCTCCTGGTTACTATGAAGGCGGGTCGAGATGGAGTTACTATATTGCTTTTCATCACCTTCAGCCTGACCTCCTCTTGTGCAATAGCAGCTATTGCTTCCTCCAAAGTAGGGAGAGTAGGCTGATGGAACATAGTAGCACGCCGACCCTCAAATTCAGAGTTGAGACCCTTAAGAAATTGTATCACACGTCTGCGCTCAATCCACTTCTTCATATTGGATATGCATTCTAAAAAAAAGGGGCAGCCCCAGTGCATGTAGCTCCCGCTTGCGCAGGGTCTGGGGAAGGGTACGCAGCCTTTCCCTACATTTCTGTAAGAGGCTGTTTCCAGGACTTGAACCCGTGACCTCATGGTCACAAGGCGGCAGCTTTACCACTGCGCCAAGGCTCCCCTTCATATTGGATATGCATTCTGCATGAGGTAAATCAAGGGGATCATAGTGATCTAGATCAGCCCACAAATGTTGCAACTCAGCAACATACTCCATCACACAAAGCTCCCCCTGCCTCAGATCACTCACTTTCTCCTCTGCCTCAACCATCAACATCACATTACCCTCCCCAGAGTACAATTTTGAAAGAGTTTTCCATACCTCAGTTGCACTTGATATTGTCTCAACTGTTGTAGCGATGGTTGGAGATAGGGAATTTAATATCCATGCCACAATCAGGGAATTGGTAGTACTCTAAGTCCTCCATTCTGCACATTTCTTGTCCAATGGCTAAGTGCTTCTCCATTAACAAAGCTCTCAAGTCCCTTTGTTTTCAAGATCAGCAATGCCCTCCTTGACCAGCTCAAATAATTTTTGACGCCCTCCAATTTGATTTCATTCGGCATCAATTCTATTTTCTGAATCGACTCCGGCTGAGCGATAATCGCATTGCCTGAAGGTGATGCGTCGCTCACCTTTGTCGTAATAAGTTGAGCTAGTTTCTCAAGCACTTTCTCAATTCCTTGGTTTTCCCCCATCGTTGCTCCACCTTGAACTTGCAGATGAGGAGCACTAACAGCTGATTTCACTACTGCACCTCACTCTGTTCACAGGAAGTCAACTCCTCCCTTGCCCAAATCTTCTCCTCACCAAGTGAAATGAAACTTTCAGATGCAGCACCACACGAGCTTCCAATCCCTGCACGTGTGTGTACACTGCTGCCAAATCTTACCTCTTCCTGAGCAGCACAACGTCCCCTGCCCTATACACAGCCAGATCCAATCCAAGGGGCGCCTCTCCCTCCTGGCTGCACACCACACCTGCAGCTTCTCCTTCACGAGACACACCTCACCAGCTTCTCCTCCGCAGCCGTAGCTTGCTGCACTTGCCCTTGTTGCCGACCGCTATCTCCGCACTTCCGCACACCTTGCAACAGCACCTCCGCCTGGGCAGCACTCCTCCGCCTGGGCCTGGTGCCCGTCTGCCCCTGCCTGGAACTTACTCTCCGCCTGTACTCACGCCCCCAGAGGCCGGAGCTCCGCCCCACGCCGCCGATTTACTGCCGGCGACCTCCAGGACCAAGCGCCTCCCCCTGATGCTCTGACACCATGTTATCTTTTGGGAAAATTCTGGAATTCTCTCTTACTTGGTACAGGTATGGGTACAATATATATGTACACTAGTGGGCCTATGGGCCACACACACACACACAACCCAACACATTCATATACAGGGAAGACAGTTTGTTGATCTGTTTTCTACAAACTATTGAGTTATTCTTTATTGTAACTGATTGAGTTAGGTAACAAGTTGATTGTATTGATATTTGCCTATGCCTAGCCCATGAAGTGATATTTCAGGCTTCTTAATTAATTAGAAACATTTCACAGGATCCATTTTCAAGCCAAATAGTTGTAAAGCGCAGTTTGTTTGAGCATCTAACTTCATATGCATAAAAAGAGGGACTGCTGGGTAATTAATCTCTCATAAGATGCATTCAAAGGTACATACTGTTAAAGCAACATGCTATCAGATCTGTAAAGGTTTAGACACTGTTGAAGTTAAACTGGCATGGTATCAAATCTAAATGGCATAAATACAGCTCAAGCAGCATGGTGCTTCACTTGGGCCTAGTTTATGCAAGTTTGATGACCTCACATGACATGTCTTATCCTTGGAAACCACAGTTAATGTAACCTGCACGTAACTTACAAAACAGTGACTTCTTTGTTTTGTGGACCTAAGCAGAATATCCATGCAAACTAAGTGCCGATTGTGCTAAGATGCGACTCTTACAGCTTGGAGCTTTTGGAGTGCTTTTTTTTACAGTAGCTTTTGGAGTGTTTCTGTATTACTACTATAATTGGCAAACTTGACTAGATAATCTTAATCTTAGCGTCTACATGCCCAACGAATTAATCAACACAAGAACAGACTGACCAGTAGTAAAAGCAAACTGATCGCAAATGACAGAAGTTACTTGGAAAGAACAGGGAGAACGTGGTAGTTTACCAAGCATTATACCCCAACGCCATATGTCTTGCTCCAGTTGTTGCTCTTTTGATGGACGCAACCTTATTGTTTTATAGTTTGGCTCATATGAAGCCGTCAAAGTAGAATATTGTTTTAGCTCATATAGTATCTAATTCCGCTTTGCATAGAGTTGACACATTTGTCTGCTTCTCAGGTTGGGACCAAGGATGGGGGCTCTGCTATGCCCGAACCACTATCGGATCTCCGCCATCGCAACGACCCATTAGCAAAGAAGCAATCCAAATATTCAAGATATATTTTCCACAGCCGAAGATACTAACTAACTTGGTATGACAGAGCAAGAAACGCCACAAGAATATGACAAAATCGATTAGATTATGTAAACCAGTGACGTAACATGAGAACTCAGTTGATGCTGTATTCTGGTACGGACCCGGCCCGATTCCTTGATCCAATATTTTTCCGTGCTTTGGCTTCTTCCGTTCTAGCCCTTGGCCGGCAACGGCTATTCATCATTGCTAATAACGACTGGTTAGCGAGTGGCCATGATATTAATTTGGTTCGGTTGGAACCTTCACAGTGAAAGAAAAGGCAACCTTGTGTTCTTCCCAGACGTTCCACAGCTAGATGCATACAGGTATGTCTACCTTACCTGCCTTTTCCCCTTCCTTTCTACCCGTGCCTTGAAATTCATTGCCTTCTGAGAGTATGCAGGATATGAAGTACTGCTTGGGTGCCTCGTCGCGGCGGTGATCATCGGGTTTGTTGTCATCTACTGCCACATCAGGAGAAGAACACGCAAGATCAAATCGTCAAAAAGGGATATTGGTAATTTCACAACTCGGTAATCGAATTGCAGATGCTGGTAGCTTTTACTTGGTACTAACGCTATGCAATTGTTCATCTTTATATTGCAGAGGTTGGTACAGCGTCTGTTGAGTATGAGGAGGTTACCTGCAAGCAGATGTCAGTCAAAGAGATATACGCTGCAACTGAAAACTTACACCTTTCAAATATCATCGGGCAGGGAATTGCAGGTACATATGACAATACTAGCCGATTCAGGACAAATTTATTTGTACATGAACCAGATAGGACCACAGGGAGCAGAACTGTGATATACATATAACATGAGAAGTAGAAGGTAATAACCACATTCAGTAGGTTGTTGTTGTTCTAAGAGTTGGATGCACCTTCCTGATGTGATTTGCAGGGAAAGTGTACAAAGGAATGCTTGCAAATGGCTGGCCTGTTGCCGTGAAGCACATAATTAAGAATGAACATGCAGAAACCTTCGTAAGGGAAGTTACAAGCCTCTCACATGTCAAGCATCCAAACCTTGTGTCATTAAGAGGTTACTGTGATGGGCAGGAAGAGTGTTTTCTTGTGTATGAGCTATGCGTCAATGGTAACCTATCAGAATGGCTATTTGGTAAGTACATATTTGAGGAGACTACAGGATGTATTATGCAATGTTCTCTATGATTAAAAGTAACAATTTGATGACAGGGAAGGATAAGAGCCTGTCATGGACTCAGAGGCTTCAGATCGCACTTGGCAGTGCTTGCGGCCTTTGGTTCCTTCACATATTCCCTGAGGGCTGCATTGTTCACCGAGACATCAAGGTTGGTTACACTATCTGAAAGATTCAAGTGCATCTGCAAATTCAAGTAATGCCAATTCATGCATGCTATTGTAGCCAACAAACATACTTCTTGGGGTTGATATGGAGCCCAAACTCGCGGACTTTGGACTGTCGAGAGTCATCGACATAGGCGTATCCCACGTGAGCTCTGAAGTTAGAGGAACTTTTGGCTACGTCGACCCAGAGTACCGCCACAACCACAGGGTGAATGCTGCAGGGGATGTATACAGCTTTGGTATGGTGCTCCTGCAGCTCCTGTCAGGAGAGCGAGCAATCAATATCATGAACACTGCCAAGCCAATGTCACTGGACAAAATGGTAAGACCGTAATTTCTGGAACAAAACAATCAATTGTGCTTAAGCTGATATACATATACATACCTTTTGCTCTCAGGCTTCTATGCTCATCAGAGAGGGAAATGTGTTGGAATTTGCCGATCCTAGGCTCAAGGGCGAATACTCGGTAGACGCATTTGATCTCTGCCTGAAGCTTGCTCTGTCATGCACCGGCCACAAGCAGCAGCGACCATCCATGGAGCAAGTTGTGTCAAGGCTAGAGAAGGCTCTAGAGATCTCCATGAGAGACGATGATAAGCGCAACAACATCAGTATGGTCGAGTCCTTTGCATAGTGTTTTAAGAGAGGGAAGAGAGTCCCCCCCTGTAGCTACTATGCAAGTCTTAATGTTCCCATGACCATGTTTAAGCACTGTGCTGTGCTGAGGTGAAAACAATCTGATGCAGTGGTGAATGATTTACACTAGAAATTAAGCTAAACTCATAAATTATTTAACGCCTATGAGTAATTAATGGAGGTAATGTCAACATGCTGGATTTGACACTTGACTTCACATTTTTCGTCCATGCAAATGTGCTTTCCTTTTTTACAACAGCAGCAACAACAACAATAATGATAGTACTACCAACATATTTAGTAACACAACAACAACATCGTGCTGAACTTTCCTGACCTCTTTATTTCCACAACCCTATAAAACCTTATTTCTATCCTAAAGGTTTACAAGGTTATACATATATGCCTGGCAATTAGCCCATTGGAAATTAAAATATTTACAACATGAAGCGGAGAAGACTGCTGCCAAAATGGTATTCTGCAGAAATGAGTAGCAAAACACACCACCATATCAGACATTATCAAACTGGCAGTCCATCCAATGCTTCATTGTAATCTTTTTGGTTCATCGACAAGACACACAAGCCATGCGGGAGAAAAAGGTAAATTGCAAGAAATATTATCACTCCAAGATCAGCCTCTTCACCTATGGCGGGTTGAGGGGGATTTCGCAGGTATATCTGGCTGGCACACCACATACAGTACAGGGTGGCTATCACCAGGATGAGAAAGAAAGATTGATTTGACTTTTCAGTCACTGACTTCCCATGGTTCACTCTGCCAAAATATAGATTTGAACATTTAGAGAAGCACAGAAGGGATTTGTTTTCGACAAAGCACAGAATGGATTCGTAACATACAGTGACATTTTGAAACTCAACTTGAGCCAACAAGTATAGACCAACAAAGTAATCAGGGTTATGCATAGTGCAACATTACTTTGTACTCCCTCCATTCACAAATATAATATGTTTTGGATATTTCAATATGGACCATACAGACTGAAATGAATGAATAAACACACTAAAATGTGTCTACATACATTTGATTCACAACAAAGTTAGAACATCTTATATTTGTGAACGGAGGGAGTAGTTCATAGAGAGATTCATGGTTTTGAAGAATCCAATGTTAGTGAGGACTTTACAATCCAAAGCATCAGGTAGAATCAATGTTTTCTGTACACTAGAAAATATTTAATAGTTATTATTATATTATATATTTTTTATACAAAATAATGAACATAATGCTGAATTATCACCTGTTAATGTACACAAATCCCCCAATGAGGCAAACGCAAAGAAGGCCAACAACAAACACTGCATCTGGATTGATAGGAGCGCGGCCTTTCCACCAACCAGTCCTCAGTATCCAAGTATACATTGTAGAATGGCCATTTTCCTGTACAAATATACTATGAGACGAATCTAATCTGAATAAGCACGCAACACTTGACACATGGTGAAAACAATCAAATTGTCACCATCCAGTTACAACATTGCTGACCTCAAACAAGTGATCCAAGAAGAAGTGGGAGAGCGAGCCGGCTGCGATTAGCAAGAAGCACTGTCTTCTGCTTAATACTACCTGCACAGACCCCGGACATTAAACAAATCAGACAAATGGCAGATGATTAGAGGCACCTGAGCTCTCACTCTAGAAACAGCACCTTTCTAATTCTATAATAGTACTGGTTATTTCTGCATGCTGCTTCCATTTTTGCAAATGTAGGTCGAGAATTCTACGTCTACTTCTAAGCATTTGCTAGTTGGTGCTCGCATTTATGCTAAATCGGAGGAAGACAACAAATGATATATATGGAAATTGAACTGCGGTGTGGAGTACTAACGGGGAAACGGATAACAGACGCCTTGCTGAATTAAGTAATTAGATTAGATTAGAAAAACAATCCCGAGGTTTGTTCTCGCCCATGACATAGATTCGCAGCATAGATTTGATTTGATTAACTAAGGAAGGAAGGTGGGTAAGGAGAAGAAGGGAAGACGGAGTGAAGAGCTCGTTCGTTGTACCGACCCCGGCAGGCGCGTCGAGGAGGCCGGCGCGGAGCATCCGGCGGGAGAGCCACGCGTAGAGGCATGCGAGCGGGAGGCCGAGGAGGAGCGGGTAGTAGAAGGGGTGGTGGACGGCGGCCATGGCGAGGTCCCCCGCGGCGGCGGCGGCGGGGGTGGAGGGGAGGAAGGACGCGAGCCACTCGGCGAAGGCGCCGAGGTCCGGGCCGAGGAAGGCGTTGAAGGCGTAGACGGCGCAGTGGTGCGGGCCGAAGCGGCGGCCACCGCCGGCGAGCCGGGAGAGCGCCGCCCCGCCGGACAGCGCGTACAGCAGGTGCGCCCCCGGCCCCGGCATCGCGGTCCGTCGAGTCAGGGCAGCCGCCGCAGTGGCCGGCGGGTTGGTTGGTTCGGGAAAACGAAGGTGGTTGCGAGGAGGAGGGGACGCGGTGGGAGTTTGGTCGGGTCGGGTGGGAGACGGCGGCTTGGACTGCGGTGCGGTTGCCGGTTTGGACTGGCAGCTCCGCAGCTGGGGGTCGTGCTGCTCGCTTCGCTCTGGCGCGCTGCTCGGCTCACTTTGTTCGCCGCGGTCACCGCCCAGGTAACGGTGAACGGTCGGGTGGTTTTGGCGTTTGAGACGAGCTTCGCTCGGCCGTTTCCATGTGACTATGTGAGCGATGGCCCCGCTCGCGGGCTCGCGGCTAAAACCGTGAACACCAGCACTGGTAAACAAACATCTGCGGAAGGATGCAATGGCAGGTTAGTGGCGTGAGCACGGGTCAAGTGATTGATGCCTGGACTGGACACCATGGACCGATGTGTTCCAAAGGTCCACCCATGGCGTGAGCACGGGTCCAATGTGGGGGCTACGATGTCCCTTACGCGTAACGGCTTACCTAATCTGCACTAGCACCAACTCCCCGGCTGCTTCTAGAAAAAATAACTGTTGAAATGTCTGAAGGCCATCTTTCTACAAGTACTAGAATAGTTCAACAGTTTATATTGTCCAAACAGGTCATTAGTTCTATTTATTTTTTAAACGTGACCAAAGGTATAGGCAGCCAACAGAACAGAATTGCACACAAAGCTGAAGCTATGTTGAGATAGTGATGGAGCATGAATAGCCTCCCGCAAATCCCGAGCAAGCACGCTTCATTTCCGGTCACACACATCCAGCAAATCTCTCCGTCCATACAAGCGACGCAGGCATAGCTCTGCCGCTCTGCTCAGAATGGCCTGCACTGCAGTCATGCCCCAAAGTTTTACACTACATACATACAAAGTTACAAACACATAGCAGCCGCGCAATCATCAGACAAGCTTGCCTGTGACTACCACTTGTTACATCTTCTTGCCAACTCCCACATAATTACTTGGCCGGACGACTCAGGCCGCCGCGCCGTCCACCTGCTGCCTGCGCCGCTTACTGGACTCCTTGATCTTCAGCAGCTCGTCGCAGACGATCCACGGGAAGCTCCAGAACTGCTTCTTTCCCGGCCGGCCGTGGTCCGGGTGATAAGTCACGCGGTACCATGCCGACGCCGTCCTCGAAGCCTCCGCCTTCGGCCGGCTCCTGAACCAACCCTGCACCTCCTTGTGCAGGCCCTCCACCGAGTCGATGATGCGGTCCTTCATCTCGAAGTACCTCTTGTTGTCCTTCTTCAGGTACAGGAGCCTGTTCCGGATGTTGCCCGTCAGGATCTCGTCCTCGTGCTCCGCGCCATAGTAGCTCATCAGGGTGCTCAGCTTCTCTGCGTACAGGTCGTAGCACTCCTCCGCGGATGCCAGGAATTCCTCGAAACCAGGGACCTCCAGGTCAGGATCGAACGCGGGGCTCGGTTGAGCCGAGGACGAGGGGGCAGGAGCGCTCTGCATACGGCTCGCAGCCGCTCGGTAGAGCTTGCCGAGAGCTCCGTTGGAGATGTACGTTGGTTTGTCCCACCGTTCCATGAAGTCGGGGTACTCCTTTGGTCTCAGTGACCGGGGCATTTCAGCTGGAGCCCCTGACTTGGCAAAGTCGACCGCCATCGAATGCAAAGCAGCTAGCTGGAGGCACTCAGGGCTCCGGGCTTTCATTGGATGACGATCCGCATGGACCAAGTGAGCAGTTGAGATTGCACCGAGCGAGTCATTTATCATGTAATCCACAAAGTACTTCTGAATTTCCTGCAGTTCATCAGATGTTGTAAGATTACAGGTATAAACATGTCAGGCAAGGAAAATACAAGTGCTTGTTGAAAAGACAACTTTGAACTGCTTATTGGAGCTAACTGGTAAATAGTTGTGAACCTATCAAGGTTAGATATATACATTGAAGAACATTTTGAAGCCAAGACCACTTTAAAACTCAATCATGCACAACTGTTTTCATTAGAGGATGGCAAAAATATCTTTCTTTCTGAAACAAGTAACCCACATTTCTAAAGAACGTTATTAACTGTGCATGGCGAGCATATATTTGGTTCAAAGCATTCAAAATGTTGTGTTGGCTGTTATTCCATCCTGGCTGAGTTCGACACTCGTAGCCAGTTCTCTCTTCTGGCTGTTGTGCACTTACCATGTAGGCATGTACCCAGTTCTGACAAAGAAATGTTTTAGAAAGATGTGAGGTGCCTCAAGATAATAATAAATCTCTAAAGTTACTAAGCTCCCAGGAAATATAACGCCCTCAGCGATTTGGCTTTTTTATCATTTATGGTCCCACTGGTCAGCTGGTCTAAACTGCCTTTGACTACGTGCCCTG